AATTCCTGAAATTCTTCTTCATAGATTATCTGTCGAAATACAGAAATGGATTTTGCTTAGGCTTGTATCAAAGATAATGAAGGAAAGGAATAAGGAAATGAGAATTTTAGCAGCTCTATGGGATTCTGCTTTTTATTTTATTTTTAAAAAAATCAACTTACTTAAAATCTACTGTCTACAATCTGGTAACATCTATTAGAATAAAATGTACACATACCATTTAACATAGCAATAAGAACTGCTGGGAATCTATCCCACAAAAGCACTGGCTTTTAAGGGTTTATGCGTAAGAGTGTTTATTGCAGCATTGTTTGTAGCAGGAAAAAAAACTAGAAAAAACCTTTGGACAATAACTTCCTAAACTGTTCTTCTAAACATCGTGTTGCACATACCATCAAGTATATGTGTATAAAAAGGGGTTCTTCGCAGGAGGCAGAGGTTGCAGTGAGCCAAGATCGTGCCACTGCACGCCAACCTGGGTGACAGAGTGAGACTCCATTTAAAAAAACAAAAAACAAAAAAAGCTGGGGGTTCTTTGTGAAAACATGCCTCAAAAACACTGGTTTACACAAAGTTAAACAGGTTTGTTTATCATGGGCTTCTCAGAACTATTCAAATGATTATTCAGACATTATTTTATAAAATATTGAGCACCCACTTTGAGCCAGAAGCTGTACTTAGGAGAAGAGTCAATAGTTTCAGGAGTGACGAGTGTCCTCAAGGAGAAGGACAGGGAGCTAGCAGTGCAGTGGGCAGAGCCAGAGAGGCTTCCTGAGAAATGTGACTTGAGGTAGAGAGTTGAAGAAGACTCTGAGTTACCCCAAGGAAGTGGAGAAGTGAGAAGGCGTGCCAGGCAGAGGGAACAGCACCTGCTGGAGCACTCATGGGAAAGAGGGTGGGATGAGAAGCTGGAGAAAGCCCCATGGGTGAAGCAGAGAGAGAAAGAACTGCAGCGGGGAGGCGGCCACCCCATGAGGAGCTGGGCTTTCACCTCAAATGCAAGCAGGAGAAACTCAGGGGGATTTTTCTTTTAAACACCTTAATTAAGGTATCATTTAAATAACACAGTATCTACCCATTTTACGTGCACAGTGTGATGAGCCCTAGTAAATGTACACAGTTGTGCAACTATCTTCACAATCTAGTTTTAGAAGACTTTTATCACCCCCAAAATTTCCTTGTACCCACTTGCTGTCAATCCCATTTCCAGGCTCTGACCTGCTTTTGCTTCTTTAGTTTTGCCTTTTCTAGAAATTTCATGTGAATGGAATCATTTAATATGTATCTTCTGTGTCTGGTTTCTTTCGCTTAGCTCATTCTGAGGTTCATCCACGTTGTTGCAGGCATCACTAGTCCTTTGTAAAATTGCTGAACAGTGTCCTATTGCATGGATATAACACATTTGTTTATACATTTGTCAGTTGAGGGACACCTGAATTGTTTCCTGTGTTTACTATAGTGAATTATGCTGCTGCAGATGTTTGCCTACAAGTCTGAGTGGACATATGTTTTTATCTCCTTTTAACAGACATCTAAGAGTGGATTGCTAGATGGATTTGAACTATTTTAGTGGGCATAAAATGGTATCTCATGGTGGTTCTGGTTTGTATTTCTCTAATGACTAATGGTGTTGAGCACCTTTTCATGTGCTTATTATATTCATCTATGTATCTTCTTTGGTGAAATATCTTGTTTGGGGACTTGCTTGAAGGACTCACAGACCTCAGAGGCAGTTGCATCCACACAACGGTTATCATAGTGAAACACCACGCAACAGGAGGAAAGGCACATAAGGTAGAGTCTGGAGGTGTCCAGGTGCAGGCTTTTAAAGTTCTCTCTTCAGGGGTGGGGTTTGCACTGAACATGCTCCTCTCCCCAGTGGTGAAATGCAGCAACGGTGCATGTTGTTTCTGCCTGGGGGCCTTGCTTGAGACTCGACATCCAGAGTTTTTTGTGGGCTAGTGATGTAGGCACTCTTCTGCCACACAACCAAGGGTGATTACTGAAATTCCAAACTCCTAGAAGAAAAGCACGTGTGCACCATAAATCATACTGTTTGTACAAACAGTTTAGGCAAGCTGGTACTGTAGGATTCAGTGCCCTGGGAAGACAAAACAGCCTTATCAGTTAGAAACAGAGGTGACATTCTAAAAGCCAGGTTCTCAGATGCCAGGCAAGAGCCAGCTGCACAGGCAGACCCTTCTACAGAGCAACATCAGGCCTCCTGTGTTCTCCTCTCCCACACATGTCTAGTCAAATCTTTTGGTCATTTTTCAGTTGGGTTGTTAGTCTTCTTGTCATCAGAATTCTTTATATATCCTGAGTTTAAACTGTTTATTAGATATCCATTTTGCAATTTTCCCCCCCAGTCTGTGGCTTATCTTTTCATTTTCTTAATGTCCCTTGGAAGGAGTTTGGGAAGGGAAGTAATATGACCAGATTTGCACACACATACAGCTGCCCTACCTGCTATGTGGAGAATGGACTGCAGGGGTCAGGACTGGATTGGGGCATCCTGTTAGGAGGCTGTTGCGTGATCCAAGTGAGAAATGATGGTGTTTTGGATGGGGAGGTGACAGAAGGGATGGATAAAAGCAGCTCCATACAGGGGGTGTATAGAAGGTAGGACTGAGATGGCATGCATTCCACACATTATAGATTTTCAACAGGGGAACAGAAAGGAGGCCTCCCCAAACTCATCCACAGAACACATTATTATTATTCTTTCTAGTAGTGAAACTCCATTCATTTGTGGGATTTACATATTTGATAATTTGGAAATGTGGGACAAGATGAATTTGAAGGTTCCCTCTAGTCCTCACAGTCTGTGGTGCCATGAACAATCCTTTATGAGGTTATTTTAACAATACTAAAATATTCTGAGGCGTGTGCCTAGGTGCATGATTACAGATTGTTTATTAGTCATGCATGTATATATATAATGCCAATTTTTGATCCAAGAAAACAACTTCATGACTGAAATTGAACACAATCTATGCATGAAGATCCTTGCGGAAACAGAGGGCAGAAACATTGTTAGCATAGAAAGTGTGAGGATGGGGATAAGGAAATTCATATTCATGTATTAACCCAATTACCAAATGTACCTTGCAAATCTGGAGCGCTGTTGGTTTAACATGGGATTTCACATCATTCTGTCCCAAGTGACATAGACAGTATTATAAATGAAAAATCCTTTCCTCAGGCTAGGATACAGAGCTCCTCTCACTTGGGCAGTACATGCGATCACAGGAGAACCTTTATTTAAGGCTGGAAATTCTATTTACTCAGGAGCCCAAACCACTGTTTTTCTGTTCTTGCAAAATAAACAAAACACCCTGGCATAGTAGATGCAGAAAAGACCTGAGGGAATGGAAAGGAATGTGGAATCAGGTATGCAGGTCAGTGTCAACACAATAAATCAGGAGCACAGCAGTGATACATATATTTCTCTTCTGATGCTAAAAAAAGGCTACATGAATCAATGAGATAACGTGAGAGTACAGAAATTAAGATATATAATGTTTTATTTATAGATGTATTTAATGAAGTAGGTTTTGTGGTTCTGTTGTTTTATTTTAGAAAGAGGCAACATAAAGGCTCAGAAGTGGATGTTATGCCTGGTAGGAGCTGCATGATGCACACATGGATCAGGGAGATGATGACATCACCTCCAAACCTGGCTGGACCTGGTGCCCTGAGCCTATGGAGAGGCTGGACAGGGGGAAGGGGGCTTCAGACACCTGCTGTCAGGTGCATGATGCAATAAGGTACCCCTTCTCCAGGAAGTGATGATGAATCCAGCTCAGCATGCTGCACATTTTGGCCTCTTCTGCCTCAAGGCCTTTGCATGTGATGTTCCCTTTTCCTGAAAGCCAGCTGCCTCCACCTATCCCCAGATCTTGTGAACTCCCCCTTCAGGTCTCAAATACATTGTCACTTCCCTTCTGTCTACACTGTCATCAGGGCAAATGGCGAACACATTTTAGAGAGTCAAAACCTTGTACAGTTTTGAAGGCCCTTTTCCAGAAATAAGAATAAAAATTATTGATTTGAAATTAGAGATCCATATAATTAGGGCCCTTTCTGGGACCCTGGACACAAAGATCCTCTGTCCCTGGGGAGCTTCCAGTCTGGCTAGATGTGTACTGGATCCAAAGAAGGCTGGGTAGGCTGAGGTCAGAAGCACTCAGAGTCTTAGAAAACCAGAACTAGAAGATACTTTGGAGGTGTCTGATTAAATCTCCCATTTTAGAGGCAGGGAAACGGAGGCTCACAGTGGGGGAAGGGAGTTAGTCGAAGTCACACAGCTTGCTGTGGCAGATTTTGGACTAGGCTGTCTGATTCTCAGGGTCCTTAGGGACCTCTTGGAGTGCAGAGTTCATTTAGGGTGAGGAATGGCTGGCAGCTTCAGTGGTTGCAGGGATCAAAATCTGCTCCTCACCCTGACCTTGCTGGATCCAGAAAATCCTGATTTCCTACTTCACTTCATGACACATATGCGAACACTGAGATGTTTTGCAGGAGGGGGGAGAAAATAGATTCTTCCTAACAGGCTCTTTGTTTTTCTGCATGACTAAACCTGTAGCAAGGATGAACCAGAGTAAAACTATGGAGATGTAAATTCTGAATGCATTCAGTCATGTGGTCAGCAAGTATAATGAGTAAACCCAAACAGAATTAGGCCAATCAAAACCTTTCCCTAATTTGGAGCAGAATGACAAATCCTACATGCACATAAGGCCCCTATTCTAATATTTCAGAGACCTACCTGAAAAGAGCTATTGGCACAGTGCTTTCTTTTAGAAGGCCATTTGTGTGGCACCAAAAAGCAATTGCTTCCTCCATTCCTACTACCTGGAAACACAAACTTTTAAATTCATGCCAGTTCGATCGCAACAGTAGCAAATTTCATGGAGCAGCTAAAAAGAAGAGCAACAGCTGGTACATCAGGCATTAATAATATAACAAAGGAAGAAAAAAGAGAAACTTTTCATTAGTACTTTTTGATGTCAATTTATTATTTATCCCTTTGCCAGTATTGAAACAGACAGGCAGTCATAAAACATTAAAAAAAGATCCTTTAAAACAGTCAGGCATCTGTTTTACCTCAGTTCCTTTTTAGAAACCTGGAAACCAGGAGCCCCGGCTTTTATACTATAGCAAGTTTGACACTTGCTATATCAAAAATACTGCTTGAGGATCACTACGTAGAAAGAGTTTTGTTTAAATTTTATGAAAGGCTGGTGAGGCAGGCAGACAATGGTTTGTAAGGCGAGATCCAATGTAAATCAGCAATGTGTGGTTTCCAACTGTTTGACTCCTCAGTTCATATTCTGAAACCAGGGCGTTGACAAAAACCCACTGTTCAGTAATTAGCATCCTGTCAAATCTTTCCAATCAAGACTAGCATGCTGCACCTGGTCCTAGTTAAAAAACGCACTGTGGGCAATTCTGATCTGACCCTCAGGGGCCCCTGCCACGCTCAGAACTGCAGTGTGCACGCCATAATTACCATCCACACAAAATAAGTAGGCCTCCTTGTCCAGCAGCTCTGAGAGATTCTGCCTAATCCTAATGGCCTGCCACACCATTTTAACTTCTTTGATAAATGTCTATCCTTGTGATTTAGACCTTTCCTCTCCTGCAAAGAAGGTGTCTCTTTCTGGGACAGAAGACTCCTTGGAAGTAGAAACATTGTAGAAATAAAGCAAATGAAAAATGGAGAAGCAAAAACCAAAGTAAAACAGAAACCTTAACAGCCCTATCCTCAGCAGGAGCTTGCTGGAGGGGGTGTGGGTCGAGTCCCCCCTCCCTAGCTTGTCTTGCCCTCAGCGCTCTGGGTGCTTTTGCCTTTCCAGGCACTGTCCTTGGTGTAGAGGCCATGGTCCTTGATGTAGGTGATGACAGCATCGGGGATCAGGTACTTTACACTCTGCCCTTGGTCCAAAGCTCGCCTGATGTACGTGGCACTGATCTCATTCTGCACGGGCTCCTTGGCCAGGTGAATGTTGTGCTGGTGCATCCGTAGGATGGGAGATTCTGAGATGTACCCTTTTGGGTCGTGACCTGCCCGGCCCACACACACCAAGCCAAACTTCTCCACTATTTCCTGGATGTGCGCATCCTTCCAGAGGTTGGGGGTCTGGAAGGTCTTCAAGACGTCTGCCCCGCAGAGAAGCTTCAGCTCAGGCACAGCTGCAAAAACAAGGATGGACCCAGTAAAGTTACAGAAGGGTCACTGCCAGGAAAGACAACATCATATTCTGTTGGAGAGTCTCACAAAATGCTTTTCTTGGAATATATCGAGAACTCTGTCTCCATGTTCATGACTTGAAAAGAAAAAGCATGTAAATGAATCTGCAGCTATTTCAGGGAATACAGTTGTAAGTAATGATTTAATCAATACACCTTTTGTTTAATATTGGAAAAGTGCCAACTAATACCAATTTTTTTTTTTCCAGTGTTCTAACAGAAGTCTGTCTGTGGTTGCTTTGGACCAAGGCAGAGTGCTCTAAAGGTGGCTGTGTTGTACCCAGTACTGTGTCTTCTGATGGAAGGTAAGGTTCTGAAAGCCCTGAGACCAACAAGCTGTGGGCCTTGGACAAGTCACTGCCCTATTTGAAATCCATTTCAGCCCTTGTGTCACTAGGAACTAGTACCTGGCACTTTAATATAAAAATCTCACTATAAAGATGAATTATAAAGGCTCTTTGGATAACCAAAAGGTCTCTAAGACTCCAGCTGGTGGCCTTTTCATTGCAGTTTCCAATAAAACAAAGCTCTAGAACAATGCTTAATGTGGATAATCCTTTGGAATGTGTTCTAACAGAATGCTAATTGTGATAATAAAATAATACATAACATTTATTGGGAGATTACTATGGGCACTACTAATAAGCTGTTTATGTGGATAATACCATATGCACCCCAGAACAATTTATGAGGTGAGTATTGTTGTGCCCATTTTATGGAGGGGGCAACTGAGGCAGAGACAGATAAGTGACTTGCTTGAGGTCACTCAGCTAGGCAGAGAAGTCAGGAGTCAAACCCAGGCAGCCATCCTCCAGGTGGGCAACTGCTGGGTTCTGCTGCTGCCTGCTGGTGGGAATCTGTACTTGCATTATACTGGAGAAGTCCTTCCTAGAGACCCAGACTGATTTTCCTGGCACTATCTATGTCCCTCTTGGTGAGCTAATCAGCAAAGGAAATCCACGTCTGTGCTAGAAACAAGCTGCAGGGTCTCTGATTCTTCCAGAAGCTGATCCCAGCTTCAGCAGATGGCAAAGACTGGGGTCCCAGAGCACTAGCACCTGTCAGTCACACAAAGTCTCAGTAAGTAGAGGCTCCAGGGCTACCATACTGGGGAAAAACTTGGTGTAAATGTTCAGTTTGGGATCCTCTAAGGTGGAACCTTTGAAGGAATCCAAATGTGGACCAGAGAGATGAGTTCACACAAAAGCACTGGAGTGACTGTGGATTGGAAAGGGAGAGACTGGAGGTGTCATGGAGAGGTCTGAGTCCTGGCCTCAATTCGGCACAGGCTGCTGTGCGGCCGGAGCCAAGCCCTTTCTTTCTCTGGGTCTCAGTTTCCATGAGATGATGAGCTCTGGACTCATTTAAAGCAACATATGCAATCACAGAAACACACTTTTCAGATGCTCTAGTGGCATAATACTGGTCTAGTAAGTGATATTCAAACATTCCTTCATTCACGCATGTATGAACTCTTAGTGGTTACAAACTAAGACTCTAGATCCAGACACCTTAGATCCAAATTCTGGTTCTGCCATTCAATACCCCTCATGCGATCTCAACTTTAAAATCAGGATATTACGCTTCATTTATTCATTCACTTATCCATTTACTCATTTATCTACCACTCTATTCATAGAAACACCCACTCAACATTTATGAATTATCTCCCATTGTCTGGCCTTTTTAAACCAATAAAATTGCATTTAACAATTATTTGGTAACACACTTTTCACTAATTTGGGCTGGTCCCATTGCTCACAACATAATGTGTATTTGAACTGCTCTGCATCTGTGAAGTTTTACTCCAATTTCTTATCTATCCAACCAGTATAGTACAAAGAACTATGTTTGGTCTTTCAAACAATTAGGTAGTTTTATGTGATCTTCCTATGGGGAAGGTACTATGATGAGCATTTCATTCCAAGTTCTGCTGGGGCCTGGGACACATCCCCTCTCTTCCTACAGGTCAGAGAACAGAGAAGATACCACCTTCTTTTTGCAATAGATTTTTTTTTGTGGGGAAAATTTCTGCATGTTAGGTTCAAGATTTGGTACTGTTTGATTCATTAACAATGACAGTAAGGAATACTATTCACTTTGAGCCTTGCCTAGAAGGAACAAGTGCCCACACCTCCCCTGCCCCCCAAATCAAAGGCGGATCTGTGAGGCTGGCGGTGCCTGTTATTCCACGATGACAATGCCATGTGATAGCTCACTTCTCAGGCAACATGGGCCGCAGACCTCCAACTCCTGGCAGTCCTGTCTTCAGGGCTCACAAAGGCATTCACACATCTCTTCTAAATCCATTTATAACAAGGTTACAAAAGTTTTAGACTGAGTGATTCTATCCAAGTCCAAATAACTCCAGGGTGTAGTATAAAGAAAATCAATATGATTTCTCCTAACAGTGATACAGATACATAAACAAACAGGATGTCTGTGGGCATTTTGGGGGCAGTGTGCTCTACCTTTGAGTAGCTAAGGGCTTTGAAAGGCAGATAAAGCTGAAATTTACGTAGACTGTGAGGGAAGTGCCACTAGGATCTTTGAAAGTTTGGTTGTCCTAAGTCTGTGAGATCAAAGAACACCAATCTTGAGGTCAGTCAGCTCTGGGTTCAAGTTTAAATCTGCTGGTACCCTCAGGAAAATTACTTAGCCTATGTGCCTATTTCTTCAGCCATAAAATGGGGATAGTAAAGCTTTCTTTGGAAGTTATGGGAATTGAGCGATGGAGAGAATGCAATGTAAATTTCCTGTCTGGCGCAGCATGTGAACACTGCCACCAACAGCGATATCTGTCATGGTACCTCACAGACATACTCAGAAATGTGGGACTTCTGGGTCTAAACAGGACAAGAGAGATGAAGCATCTGACAGGCAGCACCTAAATTTACCATACAAGGCCACCTTGGAACATTCAGTATAAAACGGAAACAGATAAAGGGCCTGCTCTGTTGGGAGAGGGAATCCTCTGAATGTGGCTGAGCTGTGCTCAGTTCCATCAGCCATGGGCGGGGGCCACCTTCACAAAAGACAGACAGAGTCAGCTGTGAAAGAACTGGAGGCATCATCCATCCCAAAGTGTCACACCCAAGCAGCCCAGAATGTAGCAATCCATATGACTCTGGGTGAGCCCAAGGAGGCCTGCAAATCACAGGAGTGATGGGCAAAGCAAGGCTCTGGCAGCCAGAAATTGCTGAGCTCATCATGTAATTTGCAACCCCAGAGTATAACAGCACACCAATAGAATACGCAACACACAAAATGGTCCTTTAGAAATATGTCACTAGTAACACACATGCCATCTCATCAAAAGCCAAACTTATGCTGAGAAAAATTCCACCTTCCTGTTTTTAATTGCTCTACATTTTACCCCAATTACAAACATCAAACTGTGTTCATTATGGAACATATGGAAAATATGTAAGTACTTAAAGCAGAAATAATAACAACAATAATTCTGCTTTCAATAAAACACCATCAGTTTTTAGTGTATTTCCTTAGTCTTTTCTAGTTAGACATGCAAACAGATGTGAAAGTATACTCATATTTTTATATACTTGAGATTATATGCAGCATTGTATCCTGATTTTTTCCACTTCCTTCATAAGCGTTTCTCCACACCATCAAAACCTTTTATGTAGTTTCTTTATCCTAGGTATACAGTAAAACTTACGTATACTTTATATTTAAACATTGAGATTGCTTTCACTTCTTGCCATTGTAAAAACTGTTGTGATAAACATCTTTCTGCATAAATAATTGTCCCAATCTCTAATTATTTCCTTAGCCAGATTCCTAGAATGGGAATTTATCAAGCAGAGTGCAAAGATTTTTAAACAGTTTTCATTTCATGTAAACTTCCTTTTTAAAAAAATAGTTACTTTAGAATAGAACAAGATGAGTGGGATTTATGGTCTGAAAAGAGAGAAAGAGGCCCTCAACAATATAGGGCCAAGCAGAGTAAGTTGGTAGCCCCTAGAAAACTGAATCTGGAAAGAACCTGGAGTGGGCTTTGGCAGAGGGAGAGAGCTCATATTAATGAGAGCAGCGAGGGCTGGTTCCACAGGGAAGGTGAATTCTGAACTGGGCCTCACAGACAGGTTTTCAATAGGGCAACAAAGAATTAAGAGGAAGGAGGGACAGGCCGGGCAAAAAGCTGAGACAGGGATTCTGGAAGCATACGCAGAGAAGCGAAGTGTGAGAGGATGGGAGCCTCAGTGTGTTGTCCCTCCTGAGTCACTCTGGCTGCCCCTGCCTCTCACTGGAGGCTCCAGTCTGCCCCAGTGGCATGGAGTGCCTCACACTTGCACCATCTCCCACCCTTGTGCTTTCCTTAGCCTGCCCCTTGGCCCAGAAATGTCTCCAACCTCAATAATCCAGTCATCCTGCAAGTCTCAGTGCAGGTGCCCCCTCTTCCAAGCAGCCTTCCTAATTCACGCCTGGACTCACCTCCATTCATACCCTGCCTCCAGCTTGGGATGGGGGCTGGGGCTGGCTGTCTCTGTTCTCAGCCTGAGCCCAGACTCTCTTCCAGTGAGGTGCTCAGAAAGTGTCTGTAGAATCCTTTAAAGAATGCCTGCTGAGTCAGAGATGATGCAGAAAGAAGGGAGAGGCTGATAATGAATACTGGGCACTGTGCTTATGGGGGATGGGTGGGAAGGAGCCCATGCAGGTAACGGAGAGGACAGGCAGACAGAGAGACCAGAGGAATGCAATAAACATTATATGAGATGATTATATAGGAGGTACTGTAACTCCTTCTTAGATTCTTACTCTCATGCACAGTCCCCCAGACTGGCTGTAAAGCAAATCCTCAGAGTGCTTATTAAATATCCAGATTCCTGGGCCCTACTCCCACTCAGAAGGTCTGGGAAGACACCTGGGAATTAGTGCTTTTAACAAGCTGTGCAGGGGATACTGCTGTGAGTGATCCTTTGGCCAGAATTTGGGGACTGTTGCATGGCATCTTTAGGGCCTGGTGGCATTTCCAAGTCTTTTTAGAAGAGTGTTTCCCAATCTTGCTCTAGGAAGTGCTAGTTCTGAAAAATACTAACAGATATTGAACAAAGAGTTCCATACTTAAAAAAGTGGTAAGAATGACTGCAAGGTATTTCTCTTTCTTGTAGAATCACAATGCCCATGGACATAGTAAAGGCTCTAAAAAGTCCTGCGGTAAAGAAACCACATTAGGTGTGCTAGACCTCGGCATTCCTAAACTCTTCTAATCTGGAAGCAGTGTTCCACCAACCAAAGTCTGGAGACCCTGCCATAGGAAATTCTGCAGATGACCTGCTGGAATCTGCACACCCACCGCTGCATGGTGCTCCTGCTTATCTGCATGAGAGCGTTATGCATTTTGCCCCTGACACCAGGGCAACTCACACGGTGAAATCACAGCCAACAAGGTTTTATCAAACACCAGGAAATGACAACACTTCCTGGCTTACACATCTAGGCTTACAAATTAAGAGGATAATCCAAACGAACTTTAAATTCCCTTAAAAATAGGTTTCCTCTTTTGAGTGAACCATTGAGTAATTCTGCTATAAATAAAGTCTTAGTCTCTTTGTTCAAGTTTTATAATGGCATATTTTACATTCAAAAAGGCTAAGGCTTTTAAAAGAAACCCAGCAGCACTCATCAGTTTATCCCTGTGTGACCCTGACTATAATCCATGTCATTAGAACAAGTCACAAGGGTAGGTAAACTTCTTTGGGGCAAAAAATCCCAAAGTAGCAGAGCAATTTACAGGGGGTGGTGGCAGATTGTCTAATCTGAACTTCAACCTCGGAAGTGTCATCCCAACCAGGCAGGCCTTCAATTCCTTATCTGTGCCCAGAGGGTTGGACTCAAGTTCTCTGCAGCTGTGACCACCCCTATCCGCTTCAGTTCTCACAAAATCCCTGACATCTCATTCTCCTACAGACAAGAGGGTCGGCACCCACCTGCAGGGGTTGGGGAGAGTGTTTTGCCATGGTCTGGGCCTTCCATCTGGGGTGGAGATCTGAGCAGTTCGCTGTGATGATGCCTGCGTTGTAAACACATGGGCTCAGGGTATGTCTGTCCTCCAGCCCTCAAAACCACCCAGGGATTTTCAGATTTTGTCTCAACCTGCTTTTATATACTTTAGTTCACTCATTCCACAAATAACTGTCGAGGGCCTACTCTGTGGCAGGCATTGCCAGGTGCTGGGACAGAAAGCCATGTGGGTCTTCACGGAGAGTCCTGTCCAAGACAGTCCACTACTTTCCATGTGACATGGGTGAAGGCAGGGAAATTAGTACATTTCTACTCTTTTACATTTTCTTCAATATTTCTCAAAAAAAAAAAAAAAAAAAGGAGTCACTGTTGAGTAGGGGTTAAGGACATGGCTATTAGAATCAGACAGACTTGAATTCAAGACACATTTTCATTTGAGAAGCAGGGATAACAACACCTGCTTTTAGGCTCTTGTGAAGGTGAAGGAGACACACACATTTTGAAGCACTGGCACAGTGCATGGCCCACAGCTAGCTCCCAGAAAAGCTGCCTGCTCTCATTAGGAACTAGTACTTTAGAAGGCAATAGGGTGACGGCCAAGAGCCAGGGCTTGCAGCCAGATGGCCTGGGTTGAATCTCAGCTCCTCCACCAGCTGGCTGTGTGACCCTGGGTGGGTGATTTCAAGTCTCTACGTGGATGGTGCTGCATCTGCCAGTGAGGAATTATGACAGTGCCCACCTCTGATGGGTGGTTATGAAGATTAAAGGGGTTAATGCACACGAAGTGTACTGGGCATTTCAAATATGATTAGACTTTCACAAATTTGGCATGCCTGCCTTCTTTAGCAATCAATCTTCTGCAAATCATGAGATACCTATATATGCTTTTGTCAAACACAGGCAATCATTATACACCCCTTCTTGCATCAATTTGATCTGCCAACTTCCACTTCCTGTATTATGCATTTACTAGAGCTGTATTTAGGGGGCAGTAGTGCCTGGTGAGAAAAGCATATGCTTTTCAGCCAAAGTGGGTGGGTTTAAGTTCAGGCTTTTTTGCTTGAATGACCCTGACACCCTGTAGTGTTGATACTCTCAGAGCCACGTGGACCTCATCTGTAAACTGGTCATGAAAGTTAATGCTGGCCTTATCTACACTGAGTATCACAAGATCATGAATGAAAAAGTGCTTCTACCTTGCCAAACACTGGGGAAGTGGCCTGTAGCTGAATATCATTGGGAGGGGGCACAGTGTTAAGTTCTAGAATTAGACTGGGTTGGAATTCTGGCTCTAACTAGTAGCTCTGGAGTTTCAATGTCTCTAGTTTCTTTATCTAGAGAATGAGGGATAATGACAGAACCTACCCCAGAGAGCTTTTGTGAGGATTAATTGAAATGCTTAGCACGAGCCCATACAGAAAAAGAGCCCAATAAATGTTAACTGTTATTATCATTACTCTTAGTCTATCTTCCCACCAGATTGTGAACAGGGACACCACTGATTCATCTTTATATTCCTAGCACCCATGAAAATGCTCCTTAGGTCTGCTGAATTCAGGAATGATGGAAGGAGTGGACGAATGAATACATTTAACCTGATTCAAAGCCCTTCCAGATAATCTCAGCAGAGTCTTCTTAGAGCCTGGCGGGACTCAGTGTTTTTATTATTGTTTTACTGCTTTGATTTTGGTAAACTTTATTTCTGAGGATTCACCCTTGGATTGGTATGGGCTCTCACATCAGATTGAAGTAGATCGAGTCTCACCTCCACTTTCTAACTGTAGGACTTGAAGTATTTTACAACCCTTTCTGAATCTCCATGTCCTCATGTATAAAATAGGGCTAAACCCACCTACCTCTTGGAGTTGCCGAGCTTATTAGATATACATGAAAGAGCCTGGCACACACAGAGGGTGATCAGTAAAAGGTGGTGGTGTTTCTCATTTTACTTACCTTGAAGGTGCTAGTTCAGGTTGACCCTACTTTGAATATTAGCTGGATCTCTGAACTTTGTTGTGGAAATAATTACTTTCAATACAACATGCATTTGCCAGGGACTTCCACTGTGCCTCCATGGGGCATGACCATTACTGCTTCTTGCTGCCTGCCTGAGTGGTACCTTGGGCCTGTGGACTGACCCTGGGGGCATGTTCTTGGTGTCCTCAGCAGCCCCACTGGTCTTCAGGAAAGATTGGAGGGTAGCTGTGGCAGGTGTGAAGCCAGCCACATCATGCTCCCAGCCTGTAGATCCCTGTTTTTGAAGATGGCCATAAACATGACTTCAGAGCTCCACAGATGGGAGCTCCACGTCCTGTTTATTTGAGTGTGACTGTGATTAACGTAGCCTCTCTGAGCCTCAGTTTCTTTATCTGTAAAATGAGGACAACACAAGATCACGTTTGCAAAGGGATGCATGAAAGGGTGATGACGATGATGGATTACATCAAGTGGCATGTGACTAAGGCCTTGCCCACATCACAAGGAAAAGGTGAGTGACATATGTTATCAAGTGTCCTAAAGGCATGGAAGTTGACCTAGATTTAAAAAATTAGAATAAAAAGAAACAATCTTATAGGGAAAGAAGGAATCCTTAATACGCTCCACAGTGAATTTCCATTAGAGCGATGTTTGTTACTGTGCCACTATGATGTAGATTCACTACGGACATTATCAAGAGGAAACTAAATGGAGCAAAGGATGGGGTGGATTTCTACCATGCTTCTAAAACCACCTGACTTTACAATTATAACTGGATTTTCAGTCTTACAAATCCTCAATTTTGAAACTTTTCAGAAATGCAGTTGGTACATTTTGGAGATGAAACTCACTCCAAATAATAATTTTAAAAATCTTAATCAGCATTTTATAAAACTGTGTTGACTGTAACAGTGATTCTCAATTTTGGTTGCATAAAATACATATGGGAACTTTTATGAAAATAGCAATGTTTAGAGCCCATCCCTGACAAATCAAAATCTTTGGGGTGGGTGGGAGGAGGTGAGCATTTGGAAAAGCTTATTAAGTGATTCCTGCAGCCAGAGTTGAGACCACTGGTTTGGATGCATCTTGGTACTGATCATCAACTTAATTCATATGCTTGGTAGCTGAAGCTGTTGGCTAGCCATATATTAGAACAACCCCATAGCTTTTAAAAATCCTGATGCCCCAACCCAGACCAAAGACATGCTAGTCTCTGGGGTAAGACCCAGACATGGGTACTTTTAAAAGCTGCCTGGGTGATTCCAGTATGCAGGCCAACACCAAGAAACACAGGAATAAAGGAGATATAAAACAAAAAAAATTAAAAACAGGCCGGGTGTGGTGGCTCATGCCTGTAATCCCAGCACTTTGGGAGGCTGAGGTGGGTGGATCGCCTGAGGTTGGAGTTGGAGACCAACCTGGCCAACATGGTGAACCCCCACCTCTACTAAAAATACAAAAAATTAGCTGGGCGTGGTGGTGTGTGCCTGTAATCCCAGCTACTTGGGAGGCTGAGGCGGGAGAATTGCTAGAACCCGGGAGGCGGAGGTTGCAGTGAGCCGAGATCGTGCCACTACACTCCAGCCTGAGCAACAGAGCTTAATTCATAAACTTGGCAGCTGAAGTGGTGGGCTAGCCTGTATTGGAATCACCATGGAGCTTTTTTTTGAGACCCTATCTCAAAAAAAAAAAAAAAAAAAAAAAAATTAAAAAGAAAACGAATGCGTTCAGTACAATCTTAGCTCACTCCTGTATTTTGCAGCCAAAGCACAAGTAATCATAAATAGTACTATGGTCAACTCCTATTTATCCATGAATGGCTTATCTGTTTTGAGGACAAATTATGGGCCAGCATTAGGGATTCAGGGAAGGTAGCTAACATTATTAAGTACCTACCATAAACCAGGTGTTTTGCCTACATCATCTCATTTAATTCACACAGAATCCTAGTGAAGTGGGTGATGTCATTTCCATTTTATTAGGTGAGAAACAGAATCCTAGTGAAGTGGGTGATGTCATTTCCATTTTATTAGGTGAGAAATTGAGACTCAGGGAGGCTAAATCACGTAAGTCATTCAGCTAGTAAATTTGGCTCTAAAACCTGTGTCCTAGGCTACAGTGCTTCTCACTGGGTGGAGGAGAAAGCGTCTGTTTCTGCCTACATATTCAAGCTAAATTACTTGTTGGATGATCTATCTATTCTCTTGCTTCTATTCCCCCTCTCTTAGCCTAGATAAATGAGAAGTGACTGCATGACTCATTCTAAAAGGATGATCTAGGTGTCAATTTATTCCTTATATAATTTGCAATATATGGGTCTTTGTTTATACTAATGGGTAGTTTAAAAAAATAAAGAAGAGCACGTGTCATAACAATTATTTTATAATGGCTCTCCTTTTAATTTGGCAACAGGTTCTGAAGCAACACTGTAACTGCTGAATGCTTCCGGCTGCTTCTTTCCCCAGTAAAAGGTAAGTAATAAGAACCAGGATATAAAAACTAAATGATGACCTCTACTAAAAAGGTAAACCTTTTTCTCCCAAGTGATTTTGAAGACAAGTAAAAAGTGAAAACTAAAACACATTATGAACAGGCCTGTCAATCATTCTACCTTGTCCCTCGTGCCTCCCATTTCCTGCCGATCCTAGTGGTTCTAAATAGACAAAAGACACAGCAATTTGCAATCCCTTCCAGCAGAGCTGGTTGCCATTAGTGATGAGGCAGGCCATCCTCACAATCCCAACAGCCAGGAGAGGTGGGACTTCCTGCTTCTCTGGCAATTCCCCTTAAAGTTTGCAGACACAAACTAGTGACCCACTGCCCTAACATTCAGGGCTGGCTTGGGGTTTTAAACAGTTTGATTACTTATGCTGAATACAAATAGAAATTCCAGAAGAAAAAATAATCCAGAGTAACTGTTTCTAGATTTATAGTCTTTTTTTCTATTTCACATAAAAGTCTGGGTTTACATAACCCAGGAATTGTACAATTAAAAAGACAATTTTTAATTTTAATAAAAATTAAAAATCTTTATTCTAAAGATGTAGTTTTCAGCCTAGACTATGATAAAAATAACAAAAGTCCCACCTACTGAATATTATTATGTAGTTCTGGGTCAGGAAAGTTATTTACATTTAAAAAATCTTCATTAGGTTTTGCTGTCTCCATTTTGCAAGTGAGAAATACATCTCAGAGACGTCAAATCACTTGCTCAAAGTCACACAGCTACTAAGTGGTGGCGCTAGACCCCAGTGCTACAGTCATCTGACATAAGGTTGGGTGTTTCTACAAAGTGCTTTTGAAAGGATAGTGTTTTGTAATTTTTCTGCTCAGGGACCCCTCTGAGAATGTGAATCTGTTGGTCTCTCTCCTGCTAGGTAGAAACTGCTTCTTGGATATTTGCTGAGAAGGCCTGGCAGAAACCCAGCCCCACAATCTGCCCTACCTTTTACCCCGCAGGCTCTGCAGACATCTCCCGTGACCCCTGGTCATCACACAGGAGAGTGACTACCATTACCTCAGCACCTTCACTGTCTCCATCCACTGTGTCTGCTCACTCTCCCAGGGGTCCACCCGGATCCAGTCGGATGTCTGCAGGGCCAGCCGGGCCATTGCCACTCGGTGATGAGAAGCTGCGAGGTCTTTCTTCCCATAGTTGTCGTTGACAGGAGAGATGATACCCTGGATGACCTGGTACATTCCTAGGTGAGAGAGAGAGCAGTGGTGTTGCACATACAGACAGACGCTCGCCACCTGGCAGCCTGAATTCAGGCAGGTGCTAAATATCTCCAGTGCCTCATCCTGAGTGGGAGGGAGTAGACTCTGGCATTCTCTCATGGGGGAGAAAGGGTAGCTCCTTTAGGCAAGGGTAAAGGCACTACCTTAGTGAACATGTGCTTCTCCTCTAGAGTCTTCTACAACCCAGGGAGCACTGAGAGAAAGGTTTCTCTGCTGAGACAAAGGCTGTGAGGGTGGAGCTCAGGCAAGGGTCCCATACAGCAGTGTGGACAGTTAGGGTCAGGATATAGCTGAGGAACAGCATGACTTCCCCTCCTCTAGGAATGAACAGGGGCACTATTTTTGCCCTCTATGTGAGGATGAAAATTATATGTAGTTTCTTAGCCCAAATGGGGATTTTGAGGATGAAGGACAAAAGGATGAGATTTTAGCGTGAACCAGAGTTGGTGGGTATTGGCTGTCGATGGACTACACAGGCCATCACTGACCTGGGAGGAATGTGCTCTTTCTCCCAGGAATGGGAGAGTGTACTTTGAAATAGACATGGACTGTGCTCACTATGATAACTGCCCTGTAGATCTTCTAAACCCACATGGGATTCATTTGGTGAGAGATATATTTTCATGTGTTAAGCTCCTAAAACTAGAGGATTTATTATTGCAGCTAGCCTAGTCTATCTTGACAAATATGTTGTTATGAGACATTTCCTGTTATTCCTAGTTTAAGAGTGCCTGCCATAAATGAATGTTGAATTTTATTAAATGTTTTTTCTGCAACTCTTGATTGTGCGATGTTTTTTCTCCTTCACTCAGTTAATATAGTAAATTGCATTGATGAATTTTCTAATCCTAAACTAACACTGCATTCCTGAGATAAGCCCTATTTGGCCAAGATATATTACCTTTCTTGTGTATTGGTGGGTTCACTTTGCTAATTTGTTTTTTAGGTAGTAAGACAGGTCTATAATTTTCCTTTCTCTCACTGTCCTAATCAGGTGTTGGTATCAAGGTTATGCTAGCCTCATAAAAAGTGTTGGAGAGTTCTTTTTCAATCCTGTAACAGATCTTGTGTTAGGATTGAAATAACTTTATTTTTGAGACAGAGTCTTGCTCTGTCACCCAGGCTGGAGTGCAGTGGTGCGATCTCAGCTCACTGCAACCTCCGCCTCCTGGGTTCAAGCAATTCTCCTGCCTCAGCCTCCCGAGTAGCTGTGACTACAGGCATGTGCTACCATGCCCAACCAATTTTTTAATTTTTAGTAGAGACAGGGTTTTGCCATGGTGGCCAGGCTGGTCTCCAACCCCTGACCTCAAGTGACCCACCCATCTCGGCCTCCCAAAGTGCTGGGATTACAGGCATGAGCCATTGTGCCCAGCCTGAAACAACATTTTTTTTTTTTCTTTTGCTGAGTGTTTTGTAGAACTCGCCAGTGAAGTTTTGTGAGGCCAGAGTTTAATTTGTGCTGTCACTGACAGGAGAGATGATACCCTGGATGACCTGGTACATTCCTAGATAAGAGAGAGCAGTGGTGTTGCACATACAGACAGACGCTCACCACCTGGCAGCCTGGATTCAGGCAGGTGCTAAATATCTCCAGTGCCTCATCCTGAGTGCGAGCAGACTCAGTAGTCAAATTTTTGACTACTAATTTAATTTCTTTAACGATTATAATTCAGATTTTCACTTCTTCATTATGATTTTGGCCACTTACATTTTCCAGGATTCTGCTTATCATATCTAAAATTTGAAATTTACAGGCATAAAGTTCTTTATGATATTCTTTTATCTGTTTAATGTCTTTTATCTGAACCATCTGCAGTGATGCCCATTTTCGTTCCTAATGTTCGTTGTGACTTCTTTCTTTATCCTTGGGCAATATTGCTAGAGGCTTGTCATTTTATTAGTTGGTTCTTTGCAAAGAACCAACTTCTGGCATATTGGTTTCCTCTACTGAAGGTCTGCTTTCTGTTTCACTAATTTCTGGTCTTATTTTAAATAATTCTATCCTTCTACTCTGCTGGTGTTATTTTGCTATTCTTTTTCTAACTTCGTGTGGTGTACGCCTAAACTTAATTTGCAGTCTGCTTATTTCCTTGAGAACTTGTTTGAAGGTTCTAGCACAGGAGTGCAGCTACTCGTATACCCTTGACTGAAGGTCCTCCTCTATCGGGGATAGTCATCCTCTTCAACCCAGCGCGCAGCTTCGGGAGGGACACACATGGAGCGGTGAGGGAGGAAGGGGAACCTGCCTAGCCAGCCAGATCAACCGAATCAACTCTGGCGATCAGTGTGGTGACAGATGTCACAGCCAGATCGCCCTCACATCCTTATTTCCTACTATATACAGTTCAGGCTATAAAATTGCCCTCTAAGTAATCCCACAAATTTTGATATGTAGTGTTTTCATGATCATTCAGTTCAAAGCATTTTCTAATTTCCATTATTACCCGTCTGTTTTTATCTATGAATTATTTAGAAGTATTTTTCTTAATTACCAAACTGTGATTTTTGGTTATCTTTTTGTTATTGATTTCTAGCTTAGTTACACCACAGTCAGAGAATATACTCCATATTGATTCAATCTTGTGAAACGTGTTGATATTTGATTTATGTCCTAGTATGCGGTGAGTTTTGGTAAATGTCCTACATGTGCTTAAAAAGAATGCATATTCTATGGTTGTCAAATGTAATGTTCTGTCCATTCAGTCAAGATTACTAATTGTTTTGCTTAAATCTAAGTTCTGATTTTTTTTGTAAACAGAGGCATGTTAAAATCTCTCACTATGACTGTGGATTTTCTGTTTTTCTTTTTAGTACTTTCATCTTTCGTTTCATACATTTTCAGGATTGTTTTATGGTTCAGAATATGACCTATCTTAGTGAATATTCCATAGGTGCTTAAAAATATATATTCTGCTGTTGCTGGATGGAGAGTTCTATTACACGTCAATTTGATGCTGTTGTTGAGTGTCTTTAGTTCTATATCCTTGCTGATTTTCTGTCCAGTAGTTCTGTCCAGCAGCAGTAATTGGCAATTGTGGGATGTTGAAGTCTCTACCTATAATTGCGAATTTGTATATTTTGCCTTTCAGCTCTATCAGTTTCCGCTCCATGTATTTTGGGATCCTGTTTTTGGTGTGCACACATTTAATGGGCTTTCAATAAAATTTTGTTTATTTTGGTCATAATTTCTATAAATTCTGATGAGTTTTTCATCAAATCTGGTAAGTGACTTTCTATAGTCTTTTTTCTTTAGATATAAATGCTACTTTTAAAATCTGTATCATACAATGCCAATTTCAAAGTCTGTACAGGTTATTTCTGTTGTCTGTTTTTTCTGATAGTTCTTAGTTATATTGTTTTCTTTTGTGCCTAGTTATTTTTGAATGTTTTCTGGTGAATGCCCCTGAGCAGTTATTTGTGAAGGATCTCCAGATCTAAGATAGATATTCCAGAGACACTTCATATTTGCTTTTGTCAGGCACCTAGAGTTATTAAAGCTCATGAATAACCTGAAATCAAATTCCTGGCTTGAGTTTTTTTGGCTAATCCAGGATGGGAGTTTCAAATCTGAGGAAGGACTCATGTGTGGCTACTTCTTCCTAGGGATATTTTATCCTTTCACTTTTCTTCTTTTGCTTGTCTCAGCACTAAGGCACTAAGGCTTCTCAGAAGTTCTCTAGGATTAGGGAGAAAAGGTGAATTAAGATCTAGTTCACCTTACCCCTGAGGGTATAGCTCCCTGTGGGAAGTCAACTCTGAGGCCTCTCAGCTTGGAAGGGATTCAGTCTCTGAATTCTATTCTTCCCCACTTGCACGGCTGCTGATTCAAAGCTTAAGTGAGCAGTTCTGGCAAGTGCTCACAGGGCACCAGTGGCTCTGGTGCTCCCATAGCCTGCTAACCTCTATGGTTACAGGTGTTTAACTCTCAGTTTTTTAGTTTTAAAAGTGAAGTTTGCTAAAGAGAAGGAGAACAGAAAACCAATACTGCATGTTCTCACTTACAAGTGGAAGCTAATGATGAGAACTCATGATCACAAAGAAGCGACCAACACATACTGGGGTCTACTTGAGGGTGGATGGTGGAGAGTGAGAGGAGCGGAGAAAACAACTAATGGGCACTAAACTTAATACCTGGGTGAGGAAATAATCTGTGCAAGAAACCCCCTGTGACATGAGTTTATCTACGATACAAACCTTCACATGTACCCTCGAACCCAACATAAAAGTTAAAAAAAGGTGAGGTGTGGAAAACGTTCTACCCACCACTTTTTATTGTTTTAATGGGAAAGTTGATCCTAAGAGTGTGGCCTGCCCCTCTGGAAACTGGAAGCATTTTCCATGCATGGTAATCCTGGCAGGCCCAGGCTCTCCTTCATGAGGGCTGAGGTACTCCCTCCTTCAAGGGGATGGCAGAACCCAGCTGAGAGCAAGGAGGTCATATTCAGTTTTTGACTCCCACAACTGGCTCTTGAAACTCATTTCAGAGGTAATGCTTGTGAAGGTTAAAGCTTTCATTTAAAAGAGCCAGGCTATATTGAGAGAGAAAAGGTTTATTTAAGTTCCAAAAGTTACTCTTAAAATAATCAAGAACCAGAAAACCCAGGGAATCAGAACGCACAGTTTCACTAAAGCTCACAGAGCAGTAAAAAGAAAAGAATGTGAAAATGAAAACAAAAGGCCCTTCTTGACCTGAGGATGAGGTGAGGTGGAAGGATGGGCAGAAGGGCAGAGAAGAACCTGATAGACAATGTCTGTGGTGACAGTTTAGACAGGCATTAGGCCTGCTCCCTATATTCTCATAACCTGCAGAGATAAACCTAATTTGTATTGGGGTTTGGGAGGGCATAGTTAAGAGGCCCAGTTAAATCTGGCAATGGTAGAGCAGTGGAGTTTATATTTTGCTTCCCACCTGGAATTCTGGAAGACCACCTTGCATTGCTCTGTGCCAATATGGAACGGC